GACAATATTCTAAAGTTGCAACAATTCTTCATTTAAGTAATGAGGAATAGTTGCAACTTTAGAATAACGTCCCAATAGCATGTTTATAACCAACACTTAACTAATATATTAACTCACACTTTACAGATCAGTTGTTCATAGTTTCTTTACCATCTAATAATACCAGTGAAACTTTTGTAGAACTTTTCTAATAAAATACATTTTTACTTTTTTTGTTTTCATGTTTAGCACAAAAAGTGCCCAAACCTCATGGGTTTGTATTCTGTTTTATACTGCTGTTCTGCCATGTGATGGCTCAGTATGTGTGTTTCTATACATTAAACACAATGTTCAACATTTAATCTGTGGCGTTTCTTTGATAAAATGCAATACGCAGAAAAGCCTGAGTGGAACAAAGTTAAGGTACAAAAATGTTAGATTTTAGATATCACATCTAATTTCTGTAGCTTGAACTTGTTCCATCCATTTGCTGTTTTACAAAGTTTCACTGGTCTGAACAACTGATCTGTAAAGTGTGAGTTAATATATTAGTTAAGTGTTGGTTATAAGCCTATGTATGTTATTGGGACATTATTCTAGTTTCAACTATTCCTCATTTACTAACAGTTAATAAATGAAGAATGGATGCAACTTTAGAATAACGTCGCAATATTATAAATAAACTATTAACTGATACTTAACAAGTTAGTATTTTACTAACAGCTTGTTCATGATCTATTACTAATTTTAGGCATATAATTAAAATACCGTTAACAAGTCATTTATTACTTGTTAACTACCAGCTTGTAAGTTATATATGGCACAGTTATAAATATTTAACACACTATTAACTTTTATTTAACAAGTAATTTATAACATATTAACTAAAAGTTTATTAATGGACTATTAACTAGTTATAACGGATAGTTATTCTAAAGTAACCAGCCTTGTTTTTCTTAATAATAATACTAATAATAGTAACAACAAAAGCAAACTGAATAGCAATATGATTTATATGTACTGAAGGGTGTGTGTATAGTATTTTTAATTATAGTAATAATAAACTTAATCTGTTATACATCATCATTTAAAATGGACAACATTGTGCTAGCAGACACTCCCCTTAAATTCTAAACACTGTGGAAAATGAACAGCTGCCTCATTTAAAGTGCATAATTGCTCTAAATACCTCTACATTGTCACCATGTCCAGACCATTGTGTCCAGCATGTGCCCTTAAAATAATCTGTGAGGACAGTTTTATCCTTTGTTGGAAGTTTAACAAAATCCTGAACTAAAAATGTAAACAACACCTTGAAAAAATCATTTTGATAAAGAGAGGGAAAACCAGCTAAATCTAAGATTACGTCTTTAAAAGGATGGATGCCCTGTAGGCTTGGATTCCAGATGAGTGTGGACAGATGCTTGGGTGTGCCACGAGTCTGCATGACAGGCACTGGGAAAGGAAAGTCAGAGAGAGTGTATTTACTGTAAACTTTTATAATAAGCAATGCAACAGTTGACAGATTAGATATTTGCCCAAATAAAATTTGTAATACAGACAAACGCTTTCAATATTATATGCAAGTGAGCATTTAAACCTTAAATCTGCAATCTTACATTTTTAAAAGTCACTCATTTTAAAAATCTTTTCATAAAATTATTTATTTGAACTTTTTTCTATATTAAACTGAACTTTATATTTGAAAACTCTATATGAAACAAGCTTTTTTCTCTATAGTTTTTAATTATAATGCTTATTTTTCAAAGTAGTTTTCTCAGAATTTGTCTTTTCTCCTGCACTGAGCCATAAATCTTCACGCCAGCAGTATAAAACTTCAGTTTTATTATTCTGAAGGTTTTTAAAGAAGAACATGGTCACACATTGTTTGCCTGATTAGATATTATTCTATATTTAACCAGATTAAAAAAAAACATTTAGATTAAGAGTTATGAAAAATAAATAAATAAAAAGTATAGATAATATAAAATACAAGTTAGTTATTCAGCTATATCACATCACAATGTTAACACATTCATTGGGAAATGGACTGTTGTTGTTTGTTATAAAGGATAGAGCAAAATGATTTAAATGGGATGAGCTCAGACATCTTTAGTTCAGACTGAAGAGTATTCCAGGATGAGGCTCTAGACCAGGGGTGTCAAACTCAATTCCTGGAGGGCCGAAGCCCTGCACAGTTTAGTTCCAACCCTGCTCCAACACACTTACTTGTAGGTTTCAAACAAGCCTGAATGACTCAATTAGTTTGATCAGGTGTGTTTAATTAGGGTTGGAACTAAACTGTGCAGAGATGCGGCCCTTTTGGAACTGAGTTTGACACCTGTGGTCTAGACTAAAGGCTTGCTACCCTATTTCAGTTCGTACCTGGGAAACAGACAAATGATATGTTTCACTTGAACGTAGGGCATACTGGCTTTTTGACCTATGAAGAAGTAAACATTAAAGTGCCAGACTGAGAAAAGCCTTGTGGACCAGAGTCATCCAGTGGGTGTACCTTCGTACATTCAGAGAAAGTCGCTCAACTTTGGCATACAATTCACAATGATGAGTTAGTCTATGACAGCCTGTAATAAACCCCCAGAGTGCTGTGATAAACAGAGTTTTAACGCTGAAGACATTTGGTTGAGGCATTCATATATAAAACATAACCATATAGTCAAGCAATTGTAAAGATGTTGCAGACACCAAATGTTTATGAGCTTTAAAAGAAAAGCAGGATCCATTTTAATATAATAAAACCCAAGCTTAACTCTCAATTTGCGAATCAAATTTGCTACGTGCGCTTTGAAGGAAAACTCCAGATCAAGTAAAAAGCCTAAATACTTGCAGCTGTACACTAAATTTATTTGTTCACTTTGGCCAGTGGTACATAATGGCTGGTTCTGCAAAATGGTGAAACGATTTGAAAAATCATTCATTTATATTTACTGATCCGGAAAGTATTACACATTTTTTATGTTAAAGCTTTATTCCAAAATGGATTAAATTCATGTATTTCCCCCAAATTCTACACACAATACCCCATATTGACAATGCGAAAAATTATTATTATTTTTTATTTTTTAAATTTTGAGCCTTTGCTCAATACTTTGCTATTGCACCTTTGGCAGCAATTACAGCCACAAGTCTTTTTGACTATAATTCCACAAGCTTGGCACACCTGTCTTTAGAAATTCTGGGCTCTGGCTGGGTCACTCAAGCACATTCATCGAGATGTTGTGAAGCCACTCCATTGATTTTTTGGCAGTGTGCTTTGGGTCATTGTCCTGCTGGAAGATGAACCGTTGCCCCAGTCTAAGGTCAAGAGCACTCTGAAGCAGGTTTTCATTCAGGATGTCTCTGTACATTGCTGCATTCATCTTTCCCTCTTTCTGACTAGTCTTCCAATTCCTGCTGCTGAAAAACATCCCCACAGCATGGTGCTGCCACAACCATCTTTCACTGTAGGGATGGTGTTAGCCTGGTGATGAGCGGTGCCTGGTTTTCTCCTAACGTAACACCTACCATTCACTCCACAGAGTTCAATTTTAGTCTCATCAGACCAGAGAATTTTGTTTCTTATGGTCTGAGAGTCCTTTAGATCCTTTTGGCAAATTCCAGGGGAGTGGCTTCCGTCTGGCCACTCTACCATACAGACCTGATTGGTGGATTGCTGCACAGATGATTGTCCTTCTGTAAAGTTCTCCTCTCTCCACAGAAGAGCGCTGGAGCTCAGACAGAGTGACCATCGGGTTATTGATCATCTCCTTGACTAAGGTCCTTCTCCCTGGATCACTCAGCTTAGATGGCCGGCCAGCTCTAGGAAGAGTCCTGGTGGTCCCAAACATCTTCCACTGATGGATGATGGAGGCCTCTGTACTCATTGGAACTTTAAGAGCAGTAGATTTTTTTTCTTTAACCTTCCCCAGGTGTATACCTTTTTAAATTCTGTCCAATAAACTGAATTTTCCACAGGTGAACTCCAATTAAGCTGCTGTAACATCTCAAGAATAATCAGTGGAAGCAGAATATAACTGAGCTCAATTTAAAGCTTCACGGCAAAGTCTGTAAATGCTTAAGTACATGTGATTTTTCAGTTTTTTTATTTTTAATAAATTTGCAACAATTTAAAAAAATTTTTTTTACTTTGTTATTATGGGGTATTGTGTGTAGAATTTTGAGGAAATAAATTAATTTAATCAATTTTGGAATAAGGCTGTTACATAAAGAAATGTGGAAAAAGTGAAGCACTATAAATACTTTCCAGATGCACTGTATCTACATTTAAAATCAATTTTAAATCCTAAAGACGAGACTGAACAATGTTAAAAGCAGACAGATTGTATGGCCTGAACAAGTGATGGAGAGCAACACTAAATCACAGTATCATCAACATACATGATAAAAGGCATTTGGAAGATACCTTTTTTCCTCAAAAAAACGTTCAATTTTCCCTGACAGACTGATCATGAACTGATCTGAATTATGGAGGGATAAAATAAAGTCTCAAAATCCTCTCTCTCAATAGCTTTGACTCAATGTAAAAAAAAGAAAAAAATAAATGAATAAAATAAAATAATTTTGAACCTGACTTCATCCACTGTTCAGATATTTGTCCTAGAATTACCTTAAACATAAATAAAGCATTTTCTACATATTTAAACTTAACAATTTAGAAAGCACATAATAAAAACATGCAATTATATATGTAATGAATCAACTGGGAAAGGATAGTCGTAACTTTTCATTTTTTACCCTGTTCACCTGCATTATCTTAAAGAAAACAAAAATCTGTCACGCCTATTCTATATTTAACAGAGGCTGTTATATTTCGGCTCGGGGAAAAATAACATTTAATTATGATAGTGAGCGAATAATTTACCTGTGCAGGTACAGGCACAAGCACACCGCGCACACTGTACTCCCGGCGGTGATTGGCTGAAAGGCGAGAAGGCGGGCGACTCGATCACAGCTCTGAAAGACGATCCTGAGAAAAGAGTGAATGTCTAGGGATGGACTTAGTTTGCTGCAGGCGTCTGAACAAGTCTGGGCTGCAGTACTTTCACCTCTGCTAACAGCACAGCAACAGAGATGTGAATTTATTCCTTTGCTTGCAGTCCATGAGAGGAGTTTTGCAGTGTTTTGAGGAGGGAAAGTCCATTGACAGGCTGGCGGATGTTGGCGCATCACGCAGGAGCAGTTTGACTAAAAAATTAAACTTCAGTCATTCTTCATATTCAGGATTGTTGGAGGGAATTTGTTAGATCATGAGTGACTAGAAAAACGTCGCTGGCTGATTTACCTCAGTATCAAGTGGTAAGTAAGCTTCCGTTTGTGTTTAATTGATGAAAAGTGATAGAGAACGCTCTGGGATCAGTGATGGAACGCGCTGTAAAACTATGACGCTGCAGGGTCACTGATTGAGGAGCTGATTTAGGGTCAGTTAGACGCTGGATGCTTAAAGGTAAGTTATTTTATGAGATCAGTAATAGACGCTCTAGGCAGATTCTCAACCTTTTGACCTCAATTGTCCCCTGTTGAACACCGCCATATTTCAGAGTAAAACAGGGTTACTAGCCTACTGTGTGGCGAATATGCTTTTACTTTTTATTAATAGGAATCAATGGAGTACACTGTTAGACCTTACCAGGCTTTTTTACAGTAGAACACTGGCAACACTGTTGCCAGCTACTCACTGTAAAAGTTTGGTTACAGTAAGTAACTGGCAACAGTGTTGCCAGTTAATTACTGAAACTGAACCATTACAGTGAGTGGCTGGCAACAGTGTTGCCAGTTGTTTACTGTAACCGAACCATTGCAGTGAATAGCTGGCAACAGTGTTGCCAGTTAATCACTGTAATAGAGCAGTAGTGGTAACTAACTGGAAACTGTGTACAGTTAATTACTGTACTGTAGTGTTACAACTCACAGCATTATACTGCATACACAATAGTATGTCAAGGTGTTACTAAAATTAATTAGTATTTTATTGTTTTGGCAGCAAACAAATATAAAACAGAAAACGTATAACAAAATTAAGAAATCAGCAGATATAAATATCATCTTACATATTACTGAGCCACAGGTCTACACAGCAAGGCTGCAGTCAAACTAACGTTTAAGCATGCAAAATTCTGTCATATGGCTCTGCAAAAAGGAGTGGGATTAAACAAAATATTTAGGGATTGAAAAAGCAAGCAACTGGTTCAGAGAGGTCATGGTTTGATCTTTGATTAGTCTCAAGCAATCACATGATGTGATTTCACAGTTCAGAGTTCTCCAAACTTGATCTTTCCAATGCTGCAAACTGTAAAATTTGTCGCATGAGCATGCATTCCAGGTCTGCAGCATTCACATGCGTATGAATGGAAGTTTAAAGGGAGAAAAGTGCAGTGTGACTGGGACTTTAAGCTGTAACTTTAATTAAACACACCTGATAAAACTAATTAAGGCTCGTTAGAAATCTACAGGTAATGTTAAAGAAGGGTGGGAACTAAACTCTGCTGCCCTGCAGTTTTCCAGTAACTTGGAGTTTGACCCCCATGGTATATAGCAGGGGTGCTCAATCCTGTTCCTGGAGATCTACGTTCTTGCTGATTTCAGTTGCTACCCATATCAAACACACCTGCCTGTAATTATCACGTGGTGTTCAGATCGTAATTAATTGGTTTAGGTGTGTTTGATATGGATAGCAACTGAAATCTGCAGGAAGGTAGATCTCCAGAAACAGGATTATGCACCCCTGATATATAGCATACTTTTAAAGCAACTGCTAACATTTATCACAATTACAATCACATATCCAGTAAACACACACACACACACACACAAAGTGCTGCAGTGAAATGTGTTACTCTCTCCTCAATGCTGACCATGCAAAAAAAAAAAAAAAAAACTGAACAGCAAAAATCAAAATAATTATTTTAAATTTTAAAGTTTTAAATAATTAAAAGCTCTGTCAAATCTCAAAAAGTTTAAAATAATTATAGAAAACAAAAATAAAGTTGGCAACACCAAAAAACCAAAGGATCCAATCTTTGATTGTTATAATTATCTCATGACAACAAACTTTTTTATTGTTTCAAATATAAATTCATAGGTGGAAACAGCTCTGAAAAATACTTAGCAACAAATTCACAACCTGGGACCTGACAGGGGAGCTTTTGTGTGTGGATGGCTATGTGTATCATGTTTTTGTGATTTCCTGTGATGATGTGCACATGTTACCTTACTGAGATGATGGAATTTAATTTTAACTTAGTTGCCAGAAAGATACACACAACTGTTAGCATCTGTACATTATGGCAGTGTGCAATATAAAATAAATACATATAGTTAAACAAAAGTAATGTAAGAAGTTATATGAGGAGAGGCTAGCTAGCTAACAATGTAGCTTTCAAGTACACAGTTCAAGATAACAACAATATAACTTAAAACACAGCCTTATTTTAGAAACCCTCAAAAACATTTGAACACATTTTACTTACTCATTTAAGATTCTTATTTAAGCCTAAAACATATCAGACTCAACATCTGAATTGATAGACAGAGAATAGAGCACACTTAGCAGTAAACAAATCAAACAACTGGCTCTCTTAAAGGGCCAGCATTTTCTGAAAACTCTTTCTAACACCTTTGTGTTTAGAAAAAGACGGACAGCCTGTGGGAGTGTGTGGTGATGCCTAAATCATTATTTGTTTACAGTTATTTACTGCACAATCTACAGAGTAACAGTGCAGTTTTACTAATTAAACACACCTGATCAAACTAAATCTAAAGGTAGTGTGTTGAAGCAGGGCTGGAACTAAATTCTACTAGGCTGTGGCCTTCCAGGAGTTTGACACCCCTGGTACATAGCATATTTTCAAAGCAACTGCCTACATTTATCACAGTTATGCACATATCGTTTAATAAAAACAATAAAAATATACAATAATATAAACTTCATCCATAGGAAAAAATAAATAAATAAATAATCTGATTCTCATGTCGTTCCAAATCTGTAGTAAAAAATAATAAAAAACACAACAAAGATCATGATTTATACATTTATTTAGGAAAGCCTTTATGCTGTTAATGGCACTTTTACTTGCCAGTTTTCCAGACAAATTTATTGAGTCTCTGCAAAAATGTATGTGCATGTTGTTTAAGATATATATATATATATTTTAATAACACATTTTTACTAGTTATTTAGCAAAATACTAATATTCAGTTGAAAGTGCAATTAAAATCTTAACTATAGGTCAAACTAGGCAATTAAATTAGATTAATTATAGAAAAAGTAAACAAAGTTATAAAAATTATTGTGACAATTTCTTTGCTCTGTGTGAATATTTTTGCCTTTAAATGCATTTCGTCCATATCTTACACTTACCTTTTAATAAGCTCTGTGGCATTGGTTGACTCCTGATACTCAATGTTAAAAACATAAAAGGATCCAAAGAAAACACAGAGATAAAATAAATATAAAACAGCAACATAAAGCATCAGAGTAGATGGGGCAGTAATGGTTGAACAGTAATTTACCATTTATTATCACAGTAAATATCTGTAATGGTACATAGAGTAAATAACTGTAATTTATTCTTTGGACTACAGAATTTCATACAAATCCTGCTCCTGTTACAGTAAAATACTGTTTCCTTTCATTACAGCTAAACGCTGGCTATTTTACAGTTATTTACTGCATAATCTACAGTAAGGGTTAACAGTGTAGGCTAAGTAGTAGAAAACATGAATAAACTAATTCAATTGGGTTGATGAAGTCTGAAGAAATCCATTCTCTTTCATCATTAGTTGCTGGGGGAGTAATACATGTATACAGGTTAATGATTTTATTATATATAAAGAGTACACTTTATTTTGAAAATTAATATTTTTTTTACCATTTCTCAGTGAATATAGGCAATGTAGAGTGGTGCATTTAAACAAAAACAGATTTATTAAACAGATATATTTATTGAAATAATATTTTAGTCACCAAACATACTTAGAAATTGAAAGATAAAACAATTAAATTCAAGCAAAATATTACAAAAAAATACAAAAAAACTAAAAAATTTCAACTAAATAATATTGATTTTTTTTGCTTCTCTTGATTTTTCCTCTTTTAAATTTGTATTTATTATTTTTCTCTAACATATAAATTTGGGTGTACTAGTTTTTGGAACATTATCGTAAGTTAATTTGTTAGATAAGCTCTAGATTTGGCTTCAGCACTGACTAATCTAATGTATATTTTAGGCTCTAGATTTTTTGTTAAGGGTTTGGATGAAGGTCATAATGTAGAATTTCTTGCACAGATTGATCATTTAGCCTAACAAGACCTAAATGTATTGTCAGAACAGAAGCTATGTGTATTAATTTTCTTTTGCCTGCATAGGCTATATTTTTGACTCCCAATATACCAGTAGACATTGGCTTTATCTTTGGCATTTTATGAATAATTAAGAACCAGGAAAGTGTCAAAACATCACCTGCATTTTGGATTGCCTGAGAGTGATACACCTTTAAAATAAGCTTGTTTGTTTATAGCTACCCAACAAACAATTTTGTGTTAATAGACGTCTAATAGACATCTAAACGTATACAGCGTGGCTAAAACAAGGCTAAACTTGGGCTGTCAGTGAAAATCTAAAAGACATCTAAGAATAGCCAAAAACAAGACTAGTCGTCTAATAGACAGATTAGACAAACTTTATATGTGTAGTCATTCATTTCTGTTCATTTGATGACTAGTCTAGTTTTGGCCTATTCTTAGACATCTATTAGATTTTCACTGACAGACCAAATTTAGCCTTGTTTTAGCCAAAACGACTACGTTTAGATGTCTATTAGACATATATTAGACATCTTTTACAAGCAAACATGCTTGCTGGGTAATGTTACATTTCCTAAACCATAACAAAAATACATCTTTCTATTTTTGCCAAGATTTAAAATATTTTTGAAGTAAAAAAATCTAGAGTCATTCATGATGTGCTCCAGTCATTGATAGAATGCTGTAGGGGTCAGTAATTCAGTAAGGTCAGTAAAACTCCCTGAAGTCAGTCACAGTTTTTTCTAGGTCAGTAATAATGTGCTCTAGGCTTGGGTAGAGAGAGATCGAGATAGAGTAGTGACTCTGTTGAGTTGAAGCAATAATGATTTATGGAAGTAATTCTGCGAGTTGTGGAATGTCAATCTGCCTTATTTCACAGTTCAGAGTTATTACAGCTTAAAGGTGCAAAATTGCAACGATGCGGGTCCAATGAACATAACAGATCCCTGCCTGGATCAAAACTGTTGTAAGTTGTATCCAAATAGCAGTTTTA